GACACCCCTGGGCTGGGCTGGGCTGCTCCGAGCCCTGTGCCCGCGGGCTCCCGTGAGGAGTTGTGTCCTGATGTCTCCTCTACATCTACCCCCTCCCAGCTTAAGGCCAAAGCTCCTCATCCTGTCACCCCCGTGCCCGTGTAAAAAGCCCCTCCCCAGCGTTCCTGCGGCCCCCCCGGGGCCTTCTGAGAGCGGAGCAGGAGGAGAATCCCCTCCCTCAGCGTTTGTTAGGCTGGACACACCTTGGCGGGACTGTGAAGTTTCTAAATCACGCACCAGAAGCCCTAGAGGTCACTTATCCCATCCGCTCACCGCTTTTCTTTAAAAATAAATAAATAAATAGGCAACAAACATAAAAGCAGTTCCCTTCTGAGAGAGGAACACCCAAAAGGAAGGGAACTCCGAGGCGGGGAAGCCCCAGTCCCGGCGAGCTGTGCTGCTCACCCTCAGCTGCTACACCTGACTGGCTGCAGAGCGCAGGGAATGGGCCCGGGAGGCACCTCCGGGGGCAGAGGATGCTGAACCCAGTGGGTGACGCGTGGCCAAACTCACAGGGAAACATCTCAACCTTAGGAGTTTTCATGGTCTCAGCAGTGCTGAGTAACTTGCTTTATAACAAGCAATAATAAGATTTTCCACCCAAATACGCAGCGTGCAACGTGAGTGTGTTACAGGTGCTGGGGTTCAAGGTAAACTTCCTCATCTTTAAACTCAGTGTTCAAAAGTATCCTTTTTTTACAGTTACTTGTTTGTGGTTTGTTGTTTTTTTTAAAAATTTGTAAGGACAAAGCTTTTCCATGTAAAACAAAATAATTTTTAAAAATGGAGAAAGTAAATTTTGGAAAAAAGCTGGCAAGTGTCTTCCTGCAGCTGGCTGTGTAATTTGACTGACAAATTGCCGAGCTCCTCCCATTTGCAGTATTTTTGTAAAAACTTCAGGTGTCTGGTGTTTGCTGACACTTTTCTGGGCTGAACCAACCCTTCCTGAATCAAGAGACCAGCCTCGTTGTTATAACATCACCACTATCACGGGGCGTAAACTGATGGTACGTTTGACTGAGCTTTTGGTTTATCATTTGGGGAAAAGCCTTCAAGGTCTCCTCGATCTCCAGTGATAGAGGCTCCAGGACTGAAGGGGGAGGGGAGATGGCTGAAGCAGCACATGTCTGTGAACTCAAAGTAGGCGAGACAGAAAATTAAATTTACAGAATAAATGCCCCAAAGGATTTATCTGTATTGCAAAGTTACATTGTGTTAGAACACGTTAATTAAGGTGATACAAAGCACTTAGTGTAGACAAGAACTGTCATGTTTGGCAGCTGGGTTACCTTGGGTCAACAACAACAACAAAAAATGTTAAGCATAGTAGTCTTTGTTTATCTTGACTGTTATATTAAGCATTATGTGTAAACAATTAACATAATACATTCTTCCAGTGTAGGCAAGCCCTAGGTAGGCTTGGGCTGTATTTGAGACACA